AGAAAAGAAAAGAAAAGAAAAGAAAAGAAAAGAAAAGAAAAGAAAAGAAAAGAAAAGAAAAGAAAAGAAAAGAAAAAAGAAAAGGTCAACTATGGATGCCAAGGGCACACCCAAGTACTAGGACTAGACCTGGGTCAATGGTATATTTCTGAATAAGTTAGAGGGCTCTTTCATTAATAGACTGGGTAGTATCTTATAGTTTGGCCTATTTTAAAAAATGAAACAAAACAGAATTTCAAATGTTATAACATCTACCAAACCCAATTTTTTACTTGCCACTATTCAATGACAAGTAAAAGCTGTTACAATGTGAGAACTGTAACTTCCATTTTTCAAGTCTTCTTGCTAATGAGCTACTTTTCTTAAATAAGCCACCACATCAAACATGTTCAAGAAACCTTTCCTTTTCCTCTCCTGTTATGTGAAATATGATTATTCGAACTTCACATGTATGGCACAGTGTTACACTTTTTCTTTTTCACAGTGTTATTCTTATGGGCACTGCGTTAATCTTTTTAGTCTTAGGGGGTCTACATAAGTGTGTGTCTGTCTAGTACAATGAATACAAACAAGTAAGCAAATTTCATAAAATACACTATCATACAGTATTTTTAAATTTTCCTGAAACCTCGACTGTCAAATAAGTTATTCACTTACACAATTATATTTTTAAGAAAATTGCTTTGAGACTTAGGAAAATATTCTTCCCTAAAATAGCCTGTTGAAGAAAAGTGAGTAAAAATTAGAATAGAGAAAGAAAAGGAATTGCTTGATTTTAGCCAATCTGAGCTAGTAGTATCACACTGTATCAATTAAATTACCATGGAAAAAAGAGAAGTTGAACAAAAAAAATATCAAAACCACTAAGGATACTGACACAAATAGACCTTGCACATGCATAGCTGGTGAACTATTTCTATGTGTGGTCAAGAGATCATAATTCACCAAAGGAAGACGAGTAGGAGATCAATACAAAACATAAAAGTCCAGTAAACATTGTGTTATAAGGCAAGTTTGTAAATGTTTTATAATCTTAAAAGTAAGAAACAATAACATTTTAGACACTAACAGCACACTCCCCACCAACCGTGCCATTGAATCTCAAATGTCTGGACATTACTTTTAAGTTCTTGACAGTGAAACACAGAGCTCACACTGCATTCATGAGACAGAGCGTCAGGCAAACGTGAGAGGGAAGGAAACACAACATGCACAGCACATCGTAAGAGAGCGCTGCCCAGCTACACCAACACTTGTTCACAAATGTCACCAAAATGTATTTAATTTACTTCAAAGTCAACAGAGCAGTCCTATTAACACTCCAAAGCTGCCGTCCCAATAGCAATAAAAAATTCTGGTTTTTTATTGGGAACATTTTCCAGAACAAAAAAGCAGAAGTTTTTAGAAAGTTAGCCAGTGATATGTTGGTGTAATCTAATATTACGCAATTTCTAGGAAGCAGTAAGGCTTAAATGAAATGCCTCATTTCTTACTGTCACCCAGTGGAAAGAAATGTGTGTTTAATAGCATCTCAATTTTTTAATTAAAAAAGAAAAAAGAAGCTTCAGAGGTACAAAGGACACGCAAGACCCATTACCACAGAGGTAGACCCATGAGCTGTAAGAAAAGCCTGATGACCCTAAGGAAAGAATGGAAATGGGTTATGTCATTGGTCATAATGACAGCCAAGCTGAGGAGGCTCAGTGCCCAGCACCACAGACCATCGGGAAAGAGTGGAGGGTAGGAACAATTCCATGAAAATGCATGAATTGTTATAGCTTGGTGGTTTACCTTGTTCAAAAAATTGTGATCGCCTTTTTAAGTTTTTCAAAGAAATAGGTTCAGATGCTAGTTGAAAAATACAAAAAAAAAAAAAATCAATAAGATATCATTCATTTTAATTTCTCACCACTGGAAAACTAAACGATACTTGATATATCTTTATAATCTACAGCAATATTATTTTTTTGATAATAAAAATGACAAAACTAATAGCCATGGAAGATATGTATTATTTCAATGCACAAAGACACACATATTTTTAGTAGTCTATCCTATATTCAAATTAGTAAAAGAAACTACTATTTTGATTAATGAATTTTAGCAGATAAGCAGCCTAGTTTCACAAAAGCCAAAGTATCATTTTCTGTGCTGGATCACACAGCTTTAGGAAAATGGAAATTAAATTTTTTTGCTTAGGTCAGTCAAAAATCTCTTCTAGTACCAGGATAATTGTTTGTAACTAAGAGTTTTCACTATACAGATGAGTAAAAAAGAAACTCCAGAATAATGGGGAAAAGGAAAAGAAAATAAATAACACCCAGAGAAAGATAAAATAAAAATAAATGCTAAACTTAAAGCATTCTTCTAACTAGAATATTTTGCTCTCATTTTCAAGATCTTATAGCCACTAATTTTAGGTAAAACAAATGAAGTCCTGTCAGATAAGAAAGAAAAAGTTCTGATTTCTACAGATCTGTCTCAAGAGCATGACAAATGATGATTATGCTTCAATTTATTCATAAAGTGTAAATATAGTTATTACTTGATATAGTTTTTGTTTACTTATCTAAAGAAAACCCTGAAATGACAGACCTGTGTAGTCCCATGGTCACTAATGAGTTACTTTGCTTTGCCTGAGTCACTGGCAGAACAGGACCAGGATGTCTCATATTTAATATCATGAAGAAAAGTAAGTCATGTTTTAAAAACTCCCTTGATAAAGAATGCAATATCAAACAAAATATAGTCACTTCTAACAACCAGAAATTAAACACAAAGATAAATAATCAATACAGAGAGGGACATTTATAAACTTACTTTGGCTTTGACATAATGTATTATGAACTGGCAAACGCAGATTCAAAGCCACCAGGCTGCTGTGAAAACCCAGCCCTATTCCTAAGTAGTCTAGTTTCATGCTAAAAGAAGTTTCATCTTCTTTGGGTCTTTTTCCTGCCTATTTATTTTGTATGCCTAAGGAACAGCACACAGCATGTAGTAGCTAAATTATTTATAGACCAACAGAAGGTGGGAGAGAATGATAACTCCATAAAGCAAAATTAGCTTAGATACTATGCCTGCTTTGTTGTTACAAATGGGTACTTTTGCTAACAACTATCATTGCCCTTGGCATTTCCCTATTGATATTAGCTGCCTCCAAGCTTGTCCCTTTCACAACAACAAAGGGAGAAAGGAAAGTTCATTCATCGTTTTTGTATTTAACTAAGATTCCCTTTGGCAGCATACCATAGCGTGGCCTCAGGAAAACCAGTCTTTCTTAGTTGGCTTAGACACACAGGCACTGGAAGCTCCTGGACAAGCTGCCAAAGCTTTGTTCACAGAGCCTGAGCCATTCAACAGGGAACTGAGTGCCCTTCTAACCGGCTGCAATTGGATCTGGGTGCTAACCCTTTAGTTTCAATTTGCAGCGGATCAGTTTTTCTTTCACTCACAGATATTAATTTTTATATTAACAGAACATGGGTGCTATGACTTTTCTTATACTCTAAATGTAAGTTATAATGGTGATGTTTACCTTTTAATTCAAAAGTATTGCTTTCATCACGAATCCCATTGATTTCCTTGGACTCAGTATTCTGGAAAAAATAAAAATGCCAGTTAACATTCTCTCCAATTGGATTTGGACTTGAATAATGCATTTCCTGTTAATGCAAATATCTTTTAGTAAAATGAATTGTCGATATTAGCATACTCTTTACAGGTTTTACATATAATGGATACTATTTTTTATTACTCTTTAAATTTTGTGGAAGGATTAATGATCAGCTGTAAGCATGGATGGCTTTAAGTTCAATTGGTCATTAATTTTGTAAGAAATATTATGGGTCATATAATGATTAATCCATTGGCCTTATATTTATGAGTAAGCAACATAGTTATATAGTATTCTCTAAGATTTATACTTGTCTTACACAATTTAGCAGGATCTCCTTATTAGACAAAAGGGGGTACCTTAGAATAACAATATGTATCTAGGGAGTCAATATAAACACTTATTTGAAAATTTAAATTTAAGTACTGCTTTGACACTTAGAAAAATTTCTACATTATAATCATTTTAATCAATTAATGTAACTGAGTATCTTTTAATCACATATATAAGTTTACCCACCAAATTCATCTACGCAAGGGACTAAAAATGCTTCATGAGGTTTTAAATTACACACAATTACTATACTTATTTTACCAGTAAAAACTAAAGAAAGCATAGAAAAGTCACAGTGTGTAATTTTACATAATTACTACTTCACATTCACAAAGATCTGAGAGATGGGTATAATGATAAAAGACTGGTAAGAAACACTTGCAAAACACCAGTATGGGATCTTTTGATTTTACCATTATATAACTCATTATTACTCTAATTATTAATGAGTAATGCTCATGATTTTCAAAAATACATCTTACTCTGACTACTTACTATAAATTATCTTATTTAATTATTTGTTTTTTAAAGTAACATCAAAATTGTTCAAACAAACTAAATTATTCTCCCCTGACACATACTTCCTACAGTTGCTTTGCTCTAAACAAATATTTCCAGTTCTTAAAATACTTACAGAATTCTGAAGGCTTTCTGAGAAATCAGTCACTATTGATAGATTTGAAGATCTGTCTGAGTTGTAAATTCCAGAAGTTGCATCAATCCACTTTGTTTCAGGTGAACCTATAATTTTGGTAGCCATACTTGTGAGATTGAGGGTTTTATGCCGTGTAAATGGCAGGGAATGCTGGTCTTTGCCCCAATCTGATTGGCACGTGAAGATCAAGAAATGAGTACACATAAATGTTGAAGTGGAAAGAACAAAGTTACTGAATGGACATATACAAAATGCACATACACAAGACAGACAAACAAATCAGGTAGTGTGTGAAAGAAATGAAAAGATTAAGGCTTTAACCAAGAGACCATCTTCCGAAAACACAGGGTTAGATCGTGTTAATAATGAAAAGACTAGCAAATTTGCTGAATCTTTCTGTAAACCAGGACTGGATATTATTTTTTTGATATCACAATTTGGTAGGTCTGGGTGGCTTAATGCCCATTTCCATCTAAATTCTATAACTAAGAAACACAATAATGGAATGTATTTTGAAAGTTTCCTGAGAATGAACAACAAGAATATGACCTACCATGTTCTCTCTTACACCAGTTACAATTACGGTGCTGTAGAGGAAGTCCAGTTGTAGTGTACTTCTTAATACTCAANCAAGAATATGACCTACCATGTTCTCTCTTACACCAGTTACAGTTACGGTGCTGTAGAGGAAGTCCAGTTGTAGTGTACTTCTTAATACTCAACATTATTATATGACTCCCTAATGCAGACACAATTACAATAGCCTTCAAAAAAAGTGAGATACATTTGAATAAATTTTAAAAAACAACAGTCTGGTTGATATATGCATTCAAAGTCAGTCCAGCATATAAATGAGTCAATAAATAATGTAGAATTCAGTAAATTTGCTAGCGAAAAGTTTTCAGACAGAATATTCAAGGAAGTCACTCATGATTTGTCTTGACATAACCAAAATATCTTTAAGCAAAAAGTAAAATGAAAAGAAAAAAAATGTTATTGAAGCAAGCTGTTATAACCACTTGCCAAAGACCAGTTCCCAATTTAAAAAGCCAGACACAGTGGTAAAACCAACTCACCAGACTTTCCATACCGCCTGATATCCATTACTAGGTTTCCAGTTTCTTGAGCATTAGCCATGGCTTCTTCCCACTCCTTTGTGTCCTTATATGAAAACTTGGTGTTGTTGATGGCAATAATTTCATCATCTACTTGTAGCTGAGAAAATTCTGCTGGGCTACCTAAATAAAGCAAAATAAACAACCAATTTAAAAATAAACAGGTGCTAAAGTCATTGATTATTTAAAGAAAAAAATGACTTTGTAATTTCAACTAACCATTTCTCACAATTTTTCGGGTGGAAAAGAGTCACAAAATTCCTTAGGTATCAAACATTTGAGCATCAACAATACACAAAGCATCAGAAGCATTTTTTATTGTATAGTATATATCATCTTCATTAACATGTAATGGACAAATGATAAGTTCATCTATTCAAGAAAAAAATGTAACCTCCTAAGAACATAGAAAATTTTTAATTATTTTAAAATTAAAAATGTGAACTAAATTGCATTTTAGTTGAGCTTCCAAATCCAAATGCACTCAGGAACGGAGAAGAAAACAGGGCCACTTAAGAACTGCTTAAAATTACTACTTACCGTAATCTCATTAAAGAAGTCTTGAAATTTCAAAGAAATAGCCAGTTAGCATGCAATTTTATGGAGTTAAAATATGCAAATAAGGAACTCCTCTTAAATACCATAGCTTTCTTTTTACTTTTAGGCCTTGAGGTAATATTTTGCTAAGAGTTCTGGGCTTGACTTGGTATAGCCCTGGGTGAAGGAGGGGCAATTCTTTTGTAAAAGTCCCAGAGGATCCTGAGGACTCCATAAGCTATAGTTGTATTAGGACGCTCAGAAAACATCATTTTGTTATACAGCATGAATAGATCTACCACAAACACAGCTGAGCAGGGATTTCTTTATTAGCATTTTCAAATATTAAGCCTAAAATTTTGACAAATGAATTCTGTGAAAGTCACAAAACTAAGACTCTTTAAAATTAGTTAGGCAAGGAGAACAAACAACACGTAGTTTGTAACCCCAACTATTAGTCTCAGGGAAAAGAATGCATCTCCTCACTTTACTGCTGCATTTTCCACATGTGTGTTCTCCTGTATCAAATAAACTCATTTCAGAGGTGGGGGGTGTAGGGGGGGAACAGCATAGGATAACAAAGGAGAAGAAATTTCAGTAGAGCGAAATCTATGAATTACCTGCTTCGACTGATGCTATGAAGATCCCGGAAATATCCCATTTTACTGTAAACCCAAAGTCAAGACTGTTCCCAGGCGTCTGGTTTATGCTGATTCTCATATCACTGAACTGATCCTGAAAACAAACATGAAACGGTGGGATCAGATGTCCCTGGCACCCACATGGAGGAAAGTCTATCCATGAAAGAAGGGAGGCTGCAGGCAAGGTACACTTGAATTATTTCATGATCAACTAGAAGCTTCATTCTTTTTCCCTTGGGTTTGGTAAGACCATTTATATACATATTACCAACTCTATTATTTTTCTTCTAAAATTAAGGGAAATTTATATCAACAGATGTTTTTCTTCACATTAATACAATAAATCAGTTGGCCATAGATAAAGCTTAGGCTTTTGCCTACTATATAATTGGGTCAATTTACAGATCATTTGTTTTCACCCAGGAATGAAGTTGAGTGAGATGTGCATGTGCATAATGGAATATACTTAAGCCATGAGAAAAGGAACATTTTTCCCCTTGCAACAACACAGATGAGCCTTAGCATATGATGCTAAGTGAGATAAGTCAGGCAGAGAAAGACAAGTACTGTATGATATCACGTATATGTGAAATGTAAAAAAGCCAAACTTGTAAAAACAGAGTAAAATGGTAGTTACCAGGGAATGAAGGTGGAGAGATAGGACAGATGTTGTTAAGGGTATGAACTTGCAAATAGAAGCTAATAAGCCCTAGAGATAGAATGCACAGTAAAGTGAATATAGGACAACAATATTGTATCATAATCATTACACTTGTTAGAGATAGAACTTAACGAGTCTAACCACTAAAAAGAAAGGATAATTATGTAATGTGATAGAGGTGCTAATTATTGCCACATTTATACAATATATAAATGTATCAAATTAACATTGTACACCTTAAATTTATAGTGTTATATGTCAAATATATTTCAATAAAATGGCCTTTTTGAAAATGCAAAAAAAATTTAAACCATTTATTTTAAAAATGTCACTATATATGTATGTATATATATGTGTGTATATGCTTATATGTATATATGTGTGTATATATGTATATATGACATCCAACATTGAACTTAGCTGAATAATTTCAAGGGGTTGATAGACACATAATTCAACTACCAGTAGCAAGCTTATCTAGGATGGGTACTACCCCTTAAACAGCATTTGAAATGTTGGCAAGGCATTTTTGCTTGCCCCACTGCCACATAAGGATCTATTGGTAAAGGCAGAGCTGCTATACAGTGATGAGATGCAGAACTATGCTATCCCTGAGGAACCAGCAGTAAGATGCCAAGAGGGCCTCTACTGACACACCCTGAGCTGTAGGCCACAACTTCCTTGAAGTGACATCAGCCCATAAGCCCAAGAACAATAGCCACTTGGACAATAGATAGAATTTTATTTCTGTGTTCATCACTATACTACACAGCAACAAGTTCTAAATTGCACAGACTTTCTTTAGCTATCTCCCAAAACAAACGTTTTAAGGTTTACAGTACACTATGCCTGTGAAAAACTTAACTACGTTTCATCATTTACATATTTTGTTTTGGGTAAGCAGCAGATATGTAGTTTAACCTAATGAGTTTTCCACACTAGTGTTTTAGCTCTTTGATGCATAAAGAACTTAGACTTAAGAGTTTAAACTAAAACCTAGGCCCAACTGGGCAACTCCTAAAGCCTCATACTTAATTTTTCCACCTCTAAAACAGTTTTAAAATCCAAGTGACAATATTCTGAGAAAATGTCTCATAACCTAAGAATTAGAAGAAGGCAGTAAATAAAGCTTTGAGAACTTACTATGTAATATGGACCCAAAAGGTAAGTGCTATAACAATATTCCCTTATTCATTTGCTCAACATTCATTTATTGTGCATCTTACTCTGTATATGACACAGTGTTAGCACTTTGGGAAATAAATATAAATTAGGCATGGCCCTTGCTCTTGAGAAATAATTACTGACTCTTCAACAGTGGGTTTGGAATTTTTTAAGAAAAAATGTGTAGCTAATAATATAGAAAAGATTTCATCAGAAAGCTTGTAAAGCAGTTGAAATATGGGAGCCCAGGTGTAGTTAGTGAGAACACTCGTTAATAATCAGCCTAAACACCATTCTCCGGAATAAAACTCCACTATGAATAGAAAAAATTACTGGTTAGTTCCACTCCTTAACCAAAACCACCATACACTTAGATATGACTCAACAATAACAAATGGTCATCTTCACCACCCTTACCTCCCCAAAAAATTCCAACTCAAACCCAATTAAAGTGCAGAATCTACTGCTATATAAGGGCGGAGAGACAAATGATAGGTTAGATATCCAAGACACTAATTGAGGTTTTTAATTTAAAGAATAAAAGACAGGATGGAGATTTAATAAATAGTCTCAAACTACATAAAAAACACTTTGTGGAGACAGCAACTGAATATTATTCTTTTCTAGCAAATGTAGGATAAAAGAGAACGTGTTTAAGCCATAGACGGAAGAGTCTCTCGATTACATTAGACCAGAAGAATTATCCCACAAAGGGCTGCTCTTACCTTGGAAATAAATCTCTACTTGAATGTATTAAACAAAAGGGCAGATAACCACCTCCCTGAAAGGGTTAACAGAGGACAGCCTCACTGTGGCTACAGGCTGGCAGACTGTTGTGTGGACCCTAAGGACTGTACCCAGGCAAAGAAGGAGAGAACCACATGGACAATGACAGGTCCATATCTGTAAATAACCAGGTGATCTCGGGCATGTTGCTGAGCCTGGCAGAGTCTTCTCTTTCACAAATACATTGATTTTCAAGTTTTTGTTTTTCAAAACTCCATTTTCAAGTGAAAGCCTTATGCATACCATGTCCCTCCCAAAGCAATATATAGAAAGGATTAAAGTGGGTGATTATAGTTTCAGGTTAGGGACCCCAGAGCCCCACCTGCATAGCCTCCTCCTCATGGGAGTCCCTCAAGCATCTCTCTGGAGTTTAGGGTTATTAAATTAGGTTATTACCGAGACTTCTTACAGGGGAATATGGCTATAACTATAGTCAAGTACAAACTATTCGACAATGATTTCACTTAGGATTTCTACACCTGTATTTTTCTCTGCACGATACATGCCACATGAGTATTCTACAAAGGATCCATGCTTTAGAAGATAATGGGGAACTGCCTTTTGAACTGGATGGAACCACGAATATAAATTATTGGGGGAAATCTAGATTCTTGATGACTGACAAAGAACTATCCCAAGTAGTTTAAGTACTCTATACTGGGAACCATAAAATATAGTTATCAACATATCAGCATTTAAAATGAAAATAATTTCCCTCAAATTAGGTATAATTTAAACAAAATATACACTGAGAACTGTGATTTTTAAACAAAAACATGATAATCCGGAGTAGCAATAAGGAGATTTATTTTTATGACATCTGGTGAATTAAGATCCTCATATATCACCACAGATGGGAATTAGTGAAAAACAGGGTCAATCTTACGAATAACAGGACAGCTATTCTCCTCAAACTTTTCCAATTAGATAAATGTGTTTACTCAGGAAGCCTCCTTAAATTGATAAAATTGGTAAACGTAGATTCAGGCTGTAAAGTCAGAAATATCAGAGGAAATAATCTTTGACTTCTGTACACATGGCACTTTAGTATCTTTTTTCCAAGATCTAAAGAGGGCCTTCAAATCCTGGTGCTGCTCCAGTCCTGGAGCTATTGACTTCACCGCTCAACCCTTTCCAAACTTATCTCACCTACTAAATCCATTTACAGCCCTCATCCCACCAGACACTACCAACTATTCTTGCTTTCAGGAAATAGTCTTCTAAGTCACCCATTATCTCACTTTCTCTTGCCTTTTTCCTCCCACTCTCCGACACTTCTCAGTTTCATTAGTATGTTCCTCCTCTTTCCACTTTCATTTGTTGTTGCTCCCTCGTTGGCCTCCCATCTTTTTGACTACACGCTTTCCCGAGTAACCTCCTTTCACGGCTATATCTTCAACTAATAACTAAGCCCAACATACCCAGAACTAAATTCATTACCTGCCTCCCCAAACCTGCTCTTCCACCTCTTGTTTTTCATGTACTGGTTAATTACGTCGCTATCCAACCAGATGCCCAAGTAGTTTAAGTACTCTATACTGGGAACCATAAAATATAGTTATCAACATATCAGCATTTAAAATGAAAATAATTTCCCTCAAATTATTGGTGGTGTTTCTAACTACCAGGTTCTTTCTGGGGCTCTTCCTCTTTTCTCCCCCCAATTGCTTCCCATCCCAACTTCATACAATGGTCCCCATCCCTACTCTCCACCACACACATACATTTAATAAAGTGTTATCAAGACCACAATCCATAAATCCATGTGGAACCACCCCATCCTTCCATCTTCCTTCAGGTTATCATCTTAGTTTGGCCATGATGTCCCCTCTAAACTACTGTGGTTGCCTCCCAGTTGGCTCTCAGGCCTCCAACCTTCTTTTCCCCATCTTCACACAGCTGCCAGAACTTTCATAACAAAACATGACAATTACCATATCACACCCCATTCTAAAATTGCTAAGTAGCCCCTTACTGCCTACTGAGTAGATTTCAAACTCTACATTTCAGAAATAATTCAGTTCTTATAAGGCTCAATAAATATATACCTTCCTCAAAACAATCTTAGGGATTATTTTATCTTTATGGACCAGAAGATATTTCAGTCCCTGTTGGCTCCCTGTTGGCTCCAAAATTCTAAAGACAGGGCAAAGTTAAAATAAGTCAACATTTGGCGTTTTTCCTTAAGGCAATTCTCAAATTTAAGCATGTCATATTTCATAAGCATTAATGTCAGAGAAATTACAACTGTGGCCTGATCATTTAACTGGCCTGAAGCATGTTCCATAACTTTCACATCTCAAGACTTTCACTGGTAATAATGGGGATAATACCACCTACTTTGCAAGGTTATTGAGAGGAATAAATGAAACATTTAAAGGGTGCCAAGGCAAGTGATTGATGCCTCATAATTACCTTCTTTTTCCCAATGGAAACAATGTTATCCATTATATATATA